TTTTTTCAGATTCGCTATATTTTTTTCAGATTGGGCGTTTCTGAGCAAAAAGTCTCGTAATAAAGGCTTTAAAGTCAGAATTTTGAAATCATTGCTCAAAAACGCAAAGTCCAGAAAAAATATAGCGAAATGTAGTCTTACCTAATAGCAGATGTTACTGATTACACCAACATTAAAAACACTAAGATTTTATATAGTTATAGCATAGAAAAATGGATTTGCACAACATCCTACCAGCTCCGCATATTATCGTGTTACGAGATTGAAATACAAATGGCACCTTCAAAACAAGTTCATCTGATTAAAACAAAGAGACATTTGATTCTGTGTAGTAAACATTTATATTGACATGCCATTCGCAGTGAAGCGCAGCAGCGAGGTGCTTTTGTGAGCGAGTTTGTTGTGACTATCCCAAATCAAACAATCATGGAAGCAGTAGGACGTGTACTTTGGAGTTCGGAGAAAAAGAGAAGCTAGTATGAACCTCTGTGTTTACGCTAGGACCAAAATTTCTGCAGTGTGATTATTTGCATTACTGCACCCTGGTAGATGTCTCGCCAGTGAAAAAAACACACGGGGGCTCGGGGCGATTTAGCCCCCGAAATGCCAAAAAGAGCCCCCGTAAATTTGCATAAAGTTCAATGCAAACCAAATTTTAGAGTGCTATTTTCATGCACGCGAGCTTGAAAAGTAGCCCCCGAAAAATAAATTTTAATATTTTCCCTGTGTCTCGCGCTATCGAGAGATGGGGCAGCGGTAATCAAAAACAGAACGCAAAATTGTAAACGTTAGTGTTTTGGTGAATACGGAGGTTCCAAGACATATTCTTGTTACTTTAGACAATGCTGTTACTCAAGCAATAACGGTAGGTATCATGAACATAGGGGAAACACTGGAAAATTCTCTTAATTATTACCTTAACATAAACCACGTCGACTCGCAATAGAGCAAATATGTATCGAATTCGTTGATTTCATTGCCTTCTTACAATATCAACTAAACGTTACTACATACAAAGCTGTGGAGAACAGTTTCATCTAGAAGCTTTCAGTGCATGCATCCATTGAATGAAGATTCTCAAATTGAATTGTGATAATACTTGAACCCTTGAATGGATTCTTACCGAATCTAATGCCCGGAATAGCAGGATATCTTTTATAGCTTTTTTCAGACTAAATCGTTGCTCATCTGTCTTCGGGTAAACAATCTAGAACAGATATAAATTACCACAAACGAATCCAACCATGACTGAGAAATCTTACAATATGTCTGATAATAATAATATACATAACATTTACTCAAGGCGGTACCTTAGGGTCTAGCTCTTTATGTGCTATGTCAGCCAATAAAGGCAGTACAAGACTGTTGTACTCGATCACTAACACATTAGTTGTGTTACCTTTTCATCATCATCATCCTCTGCTTCAGGGTCATATTTCTCAGCAGCAACTGATTTTCGTCGAGCATATCTGTTCATCATAGGTGGAGCTGTAAATGTAAATTTGAAAGAATGCACCACACTATTCATGATCAGATGGTATAATCATAATGATTTAGTAGTTCGTAAAGACAAGTTCAAGTTCAACGTTCAAAATTATTAGCAGTTTGCTAGTCCAAAGGTTACCGGTACTTTCATTTGAAGTACACGAATAAACCATATATATTTACATATTTAATTCATAATATTGACCGATGTTATTACAGAAACCTCCGGTTCAAGGATAGAGATGATGTCCAGTACGGCGATTGGATTGGATGATCGATGAATAGATAGGATGGTGGATGGATAGGATAGGATTGGATAGGACTGGACATCTTCTCTATCCCTGAGCCAATCTGCCCTAATTTTTAGGCAGTGGCTACGGGTACGGTAGCCGTATCTTTAAATGTCTCGAGGCTACGGGTACGGAGTCCATTCGCTTTCATACTTAACGAGCGAACAGATGGCGGCGGTGGCGCTAGACTTCGAAATAACGCCTTGGGAAATAAATTCACGCTTTGAGAGTTTAGATGAGCTAGAACCCTAACCCTAACCCTAAACCTAACACCTAACCATTAACCCTAACCGCTAATCCTAACCCTAACGCAAAAAAAGGGGCTTGAACGACCGACGGCTACCGTACCTCCAGCCACTGCGTAATTTTTATTTCAACTTTCAAGAAACTAGTAGATGACCTACTATGACTACTAATGACTATGATGACTACTATGATGACTACTATGACTACTATGACTAAAAATGACTACTATGCCTACTATGACCTACTATATACCTACTATGCCTTAGGCAGTGGCTACGGGTACGGTAGCCGTTCTTAATGTCTCGAGGCTACGGGTACGGAGTCCATTCGCTTTCATACTTAACGAGACAAGATGGCGGCGGTGGCGCCTAGATTCGAAATAACGCCTTGGGAAATAAATTCACGCTTTGAGAGTTTAGATGAGCTAGAACCCTAACCCTAACCCTAAACCTAACCCTAACCATAACCTAACCCTAATCCTAACCCTAACGCAAAAAAGGGGCTTGAACGACGACGGCTACGTACCTCCAGCCACTGCGTAATTTTTATTTCAACTTTTGCC